TTTTCCATATGAACAAATGCTGTGGGGGCTAGGGGCATTCAGCGGACGATACCGACCAACACGTGGGACCACAATTTTACTTACCAGCTTTTGTGGGATTTCAACCACACGTGCAACTATTTGCTGGCTGGCCGAACAACCTCCTCGTGGAGCCAGCTGGGTGACTGGTGTTTAACCCGTTCCAACAAATAGTTCGTCGGTAGTGTCCCAGGCGTGTTGGATTTGCGCGTGGCAACCCATCTCCGTATAAAAAGCCACTACTATCTGTTTAACACTGACGTCACGTTTGTGTCCCGCCAGCTACTAAAGACACCACTTGCTTATCCAGACAACCGCTTTAAGTCCACAAACATCAAGCATTACTTTAGCACTTGCAACACTTTTAAAACTGCAGAAAAGCATTTACCAATCACATAAACAGGACACACTCGTCTTCATGCACATATGGAAGCATTCAGCGGATGTGACAATCCTGTTGTTCCATTGTACATTAATTGATCACATTTTGTACTCTTACTATGATCATGCCTGTGCAGGAGTGCCGCGCGCATTCGAGTATAAATCATTTATTTATTTATTTATTTAGTAATCTTCGAATCCACTATCTTAAGCTGGAAGAGTAGCACAGTCGTTTTGAATACCGTCGGAATTTCTTTTCTTTATCTGTTTGCTAACCGTGGAATTTTCTGCCGGAATCTGTCCTCTATGCTTCTACACTGGTGGAGTTCAAAGCTCGAGTTGACTGCACTGATTTCGTTACACCATCTTACATGGCTCTGCCGATGGCAAAACATCAGCGTCTGTTAGAGTTTTCGCTGTCGGTCAGCTCCCAGAATGCGTTGCTGCTTTTCCACTATCTGCAAGTGTTTACTAGATGACGGCTTCTACAAATGCCGCATTTGTTTTCATTCCTTGTGGACTTAGTGGAGTTACAGTATCTAGTATATATATCGAGATGAGTCACTGGTGTTTACTTACTTTTGATGACACTTTTTCTATATTTAGCAGTACTCATCCTACGAGACCTGTTACCCGTAAGTTTTTTTATCCGTATTAGATCATTCTTCCATTATAGCACTGGGCTACCAACTGTTATCACGCTCCAATCCGGTCGGAAGCACAGTAAAGATAAGCCGTAACGATCATAAGACGCTGCTATGTGGAAGACATCAGTGAAGATAACGAAGAACCCAAGGTTGTCATCCAGTAAGACATCCCATTTGGCTTCATTCAAGTAACCAGCTGATCTTCCTAGCCAAGCCTCTTCTAGTTGTCCCCTGGAAGAAGTGCGTCACCTAGTTTATCAGCCTAGGGACAAATGTGTCGGAAAACAGTGTTTCGCGCAGAGTAAATAAAGTTTATCCTGAGGTATGGGACTCGAAAGTTTATCTGGTTAGGGGATTCTGCCTGCTCTTGCATGCAAGTCTAGGATGGCTAGCTTACACAACGAAACCACTGCGTAAAATGGATTCTGGAAGACCAACTGAAGCGCCCACAAGACCTAGGGATGAAGTTCAGTACTTTTCCCAAAGTGCTCTGCAAGCACGTAAATAAGCTCAGCAAAGTGCAGAGTGGAATCAGACTTCTACGCGCAACAGAGTCTAGTGATGAATCCATAAAAGGCGACCAACGCGCTTCGGCAACACTTAATCCTCATTTTACAGATTAAATCGTCATCAATACTCCTTTGGAAATGCTCTCGCTATCCCAAGTTTTGAGCCAAGTATCTTTCACTGCAGCGAATGTGATGAAAAGGCTATTGTCTTTGCGCGCACACAGCTCTCCTGGTATGGACTGCGTAAAACCGAAATCATTAAAGACAACCACTATGAAGATGACCGAGCCGTTAGCTTGGTTATTTTAACGGTAACTTGATGAAATGCAGCTGAACATAATGTGGAAACATAGAATAGTCACTCCAATCTACGAGAGTTGCAATAGTGCGGATCTTTCGAAATGGCAACAATTCTCCTCCCAGTACTATCCAAAGTAATGGAAGGTATTATGGTCGATGCTCAGGGGATACCTTGAGAGTAACTACAGCATAGCGTCAGAGTAGCATGAATTCCGCGGAAAGTTTTCCTTGCACTAACCTTACTGCTGGCCCTAGCAAACTGGACGGAATCAGTGGATGCCGGAGTAGGATTTGACCTCTTATACCTGGACTTCTCAAATGCACTGGACTTCATGGACCAACTCATTCTCCTTCACAAGCTTCGCAGCTATGGAATCAGTGACATTGTCCTACATTGGGTAAACAACTTCATATGCAACGTCAGCTGATTGTGTGAGTCCGCGGCGCCTAAATTGGTTTACCTCACGTTTTGTGAGAAATCCATTTGCTTATTTCCGACTCGATTGAAATTCAGTGTGGTGTACCACAAGCATCGGTAGTGGGAGCACGTTTATACCAAATTTTCATCAACCATTTTGCTAGTGTAAACCAGTCAAACGTCTTAGTATTTGTCGATTATATCAAGGTCTGCCATAATGTCAAGACAGTGGACGATCACACTGCAAGGCAATCTCAACAGCGCCTATAAATGGTCGTCCGAAAACCGGCTACAGTTTAACGTGACGAAATGCGAAAATTTGAGCGTACGCCGACAGCGTACCCATGAATAGGGACTTGGGCAACAGTAGCTGAAACGTGCTACAGTGGAAGGTAATCTCGGAGTAAGTGGGCATAATGACCTTGGGTACCCAAAACAGGCCGAAAAGCATCGAGAAGAGCCAGTCAGCAGCACGGGTTCTTACAGAGCGCATTCGAGCAGCTCGAGTTTTCTATTTTTCCGCACATGCTGAATGCGTGGAGTGCCTAGCACAAGCACGATGTTGTTTCGCAGGAGCTCCATGACGTACACCGAAAAAATCGTTAGGGAATTGGCTCATCTCTTTTACCAACATTGACTGCAAGCACTTGTTTCGTACAGTGTTAAAATATCGACGTCTGCAAAGACACTTCCTCATGATATGCTTATTACTGGCCAATCCAATCTCGCCTGTCGCTGTCTGCTGCAACTCATCCACAATGCCAACTTGACAGACCACCAGCTGAAGCTTGCGGTGTACTAGAGTCTACTTCACTGTCGGCAAAATGCTTTTTCTTTTCAGTTGTGCCGAATATGAAACAATATTTTAACACAAGTCAACTTGGCCCCCACGTTAACGCTTTACACATTACGCTTTGATGACAGACTAGCCAATTTGTATTGCGGGATTTAGTCCGCTTCACTCGGAGGACGAAATAACGCAAGGCAAACATTGGGCTCACTAGCTGACTACGTAACTTAGCGGTGAGGTGACCAGTATTTGTGTCTATGTAGATACCTTAATGAGTCACATGAACTTGAATATTCCCATATCCCTCTCATTCTCTTACCTTGAGTTATACTTCTACCACGGTCACCCTACAGGACTTGCTAAGCACTAGATGTTCCACCTGTTTTAATTCATTGTTCACTTTGAAAGGGCTGGGTTCCATCGAAGTTATCACTTTTTCACTCTTGCATGAAAGCCATCAAGGTAGGTCAAGCAGTGCAAACGTAATTTAATCGGCTTCAGTCACGATTACAATCAGGTGCCATTTGACTGAAGATAAGGATGAGGTCGTCCCTATAGAGGGGCCATGGCGTGTCGCTATCCTAACGCACCGCCAGAACTCCAGAACAGCTTTGTGTTCAGGGATAGTTCCAGCCATTATTTGAGACATCAAAGGCAGCGATCCAATGCATTAGCATGGGTACGACTTAGGCTAAAATGTAGAGGATGCAGCAGAACAGGCATCTTGCAGCTCCAGGCAAAGGGTTTTGTTCGTCGCAATCAGCCGACAATTCAGATATGTCGACCAGCTGTCCGGAAAAGCACCAGATGGCCGTTTCGCCCTATTGGGCCTCATCAGTGGTGCACATCCTTCGGTCCTCTGTGGAGGATCGAACCCATGACTGCATGTCTCGCTCAGTTTCTTATACAAGTTGGTGATAGTCTCATTAGAGGATGATTGTGAATGAATATCACTACGTAATCCGAATCCCAATTGCGATTCACTTTGAAGTGAATCGAGGTGTTGCAAGCATTTCATCCAACGACTGCCTCAGGATAATCGCCAATGCGCCATCTACTGCTGTGATAAAAGTTGTCCGCTGCTCAGGGGCTTAGAAGTACAGGTTTCGTTTGTCATTCCTAAGTTGCTGGGTTTGAGTTTCAGTTCCATTCTCTAGCTGACCGGTGTAAACTGATTAGAAACCAGGGGTGTCGTGCAATGTTGTGATTAGGCAACATCTAACATTTATCTGTGCCGGACTGATTGCCTGAGAGTATCTAATTGAAATTAACCCTGACAGAAGGTGAAGGGGAAATTGCAAATACTGGCGTAAAATAACACCGGATAAAGGACTTCATGTCGAAGGCATCAATACTGGCTGTTATTTCTTGAACCGAGTAATCGGCTTCCTAGCTTCCAAGCAGTCTTGCTTTGAATGACGCGAGAGCAGCATCCAACAGCTTAGTCGTGAGAAAGAAGAGAACAGTAGCACGAAATGAACTACTTTGTTGGCACTGCGTCCTTAAGGTATGACCAAACCATGGTTGATAGATCAATGCCCATAGAAAAGTTTTGTGGTTTTGATCTTAAAAGCAGTCAATTAGTCGACCGTCATACATGAACAACTTGTTTTTCACCAAAAGGACTGCGATCAAAACAGCAGGAGAAGGCCGACTACGTTAGCTATTGCGTCATATGGCATCATATTGATAATAATCATAATAATGATAGGCAGTGGACGAAAAGCAAGGAGATAAGAAAGACTAGTGAACACACAAGTGCGCACAGTGTCTGATAGGTAGTCCTACCACTTGGACTTATCGCAGTGTTCGGCTATCAGAGATGAACACATAGCTAAGTCATAGTGAATAGTTCTGCCTACTAAAACAACCATTTTTCCATTTCAGCGGGTTGTTTAACATATGGAAGCGGAAAGCTACATACAATTAGGTCTCACCACTTGGTCTCTGCATCAATGATTGGAGAGTGTAAGCCAGCAATCCGTCCAAAGTTCCACCACGGATAAGCAATTGTGGCACGGCGGTCAACATCTTCGTCTTTAATAAAGAGGGCAAACGTAAAATGTTACTGTAGAGTTCAACCAACGGATTCAGCGAAAATCACTTCAGCGCCATAATAACTAATTTTCATTGCCAAAGCCAATCCACATAGATGGGATGATGTGTATATAAACAGTGAACCTACAAGCGCACTAATAGGACGAATTTTTAATAACCGTATGCATTTTATAATTTCAACTACATATTAACTACAAAAGCAGTTGCTTCCTTGGGGACAGAAGATAGGACAGCGTAGAGCAGAGAGATGGGAGAACTTTCATAACCTGTAAAAAGTAAAATTCACCGGCGATTGCAATTTCCAATTCAAGGATACTAAAATTATAGAAGAGTAGTAGGGAGAGTTGAATGGTATAGGTAGATTTTCGTCACATTTAGGCTCACTCAGACAGCCGCCACACGGCCGGAAAAGCACTGTACGTGCGTTTCAACCTTTCGGGAATCATCAGCAGTGCACATTCCATCGGACCCCTGGTAGGGCTCGAACCCGCAACTCGACTGTTTCCAGTCCGTGGTTGAGACCACTGAGCTACGAGGGACGGCAACGACCATCGTGAATAAGTTACTAGATGTGATATAGCGCCGCTCACTATCCACTGACTTACACGTTACTGTCGTGCAGAGATGTGACGAAATTCTACCTATACCATTCAACTCTCCCTACTACTCTTCTATAATCATTACGCAGACCAAACTGCTTATAATGCCATAAGATACTTGGCGGCTTAAGTTTGGTAAGCTCGTCGCTTGGTGAGGGAGCTACCCTGTCCTCCGCACGACAGTAACGTGTAAGTCAGCGGATAGTGAGCGGCGCTATATCACATCTAGTAACTTATTCACGACGGTCGTTGCCGTCCCCCGTAGCTCAGTGGTCTCAACCACGGACTGGAAACAGTCGAGTTGCGGGTTCGAGCCCTACCAGGGATCCGATGGAATGCGCACTGCTGATGATTCCCGAAAGGATGAAACGCGCGTACAGTGCTTTTCCGGGCGTGTGGCGGCTGTCTGAGTGAGCCTAGATGTGACGAAATTCTACCGATACTGAAATTGCAAACCGCAACTATTTTGACAGAAATGTAGCCAATGTCTAAACGGTCCAGTGGTTAGGCGTTGACTATTCCACTACTGTTTTACTGGGGAAAGTGGCAGTAATTTCAAGTTAAGAAGAAGCCCGCAAGCAACGTGCAGCAGGCACCACGTATGTCTTCCACACATGTTGGCAGTTAACAGCGTATGGTCTGCTATATGCTTCATGGATTCACAAACTCAGGTGATTCGTTACAGATACACTGTAATACCGGTAATGCATAGCGAAAATGGTACGGCCGTTTCATCCAAATGAAATCTGCCAGCAGTGTGCAGTCCATGCGCCCGATGTGCAGCTAAAACCTGCGACAGTTTACTTTCGAGATAGTGGCTAAAGCACTGAAACACGGGGATGAGTGATAGCTAACGTAATTCATCCGATGTCACTAGAAACTGGGCATACAGACCATGTAGGCATGATAATATCCATTAAATTAATCTCGACTAACTAAGCTAATAAATTAATCTGGCTACCGAGGTCACCCCGTTTCTAAGTACAGTGTAAGCAAGACACTATTTAGAACAGAGAACAAAGAAAGCTGAGTCAAAAGCTGCGCAGATGGCATAAGTTTCAAACACCATTCTACCTCATATAATTCTCGGGTAGAAAAGCGATCCACCAAAGTTAGGGAGTGAGCCAGTATGAGAAAAGTTGTAAGAACCGTTTAAATCCGAAGAAGTATCTTTCCGGTCGTACTGTTCTGTTGGAGAACTAGCTCCAGTTATCCTAAACTGTAGACTGATCTACCTAGCTACCCTTAAATGTAGGTGTAGAACACACGGGCTATAGTTTGTTGTAAATTTAAAAATGCAAGGTTAAATGTCGAGATTAACCAGGATGTAGCGTTGATGAATAAACCCCGTTACTGTGTGGCACATTGGCCAGTGTTGGCCAACATCATAAAGCAGAAACGAGAAAATCAAACATAACAATTTAAATCATTTATTCGAATGAATTAAGTTGTACACTCATTAAAAGCCTATAGCTGTCATTTACAGTTGTAAGCAAAATTGAACAGCCTGTGGAAAATTCTTTCTTACTTGGCCAGTCAGAGAGAGAATCGGAAGGAGGTGCAGTCTGGCGGTTCTTAAACGATGTCAACGTTGCAAAAGACTTTAAAGGTACTCTTTGTTAAAATCCCGAAGTGATGTGCGCGTGTTGCTACTTAGCCCTTTTTTTACTGCCTTTGGGGGCATATGTGTGGTTGCAAATGACGCCCACCAACCTTAGTAGCCACAGCTTGCTACTTCCCATCGCCGTCTCCTGCAATCCGTTCTGCCAATGAACACATATGGCACTACAACGGATGGCAAATCAGACAAACCAGCAAATGGCGTCGATTTGATCAACACACCGCTCGTTCTCGGGTATTTTTCTCCACCATGTTGTCACGCGTGTTAGGTATGCATCTTTAACTAGGCACAGCAACATCACCTGGATCACTCTAACACTTAGCTTTCAGCAGCAGTCTAATTCTTCCAGTAAAAATCATGCAACGGTTCACCAACAATCCATTTGTTGGCTGCAACGAGAAGTTGCATATACCAAATTTAAGTTTATTTCATCCTTGCAGTGTCGTGAAATGACGACACCATTAGTTATGGGGTTTACAACTAGTTATTTTCATCTAGCGTCTGTTTCTCTCGAACATAGATGCATACACTGTCTTATACCATTTTAACATTGGTTACTCTGTTCTGCTGGTGCCTTTGTTTTGCGTGGAAAGTTGGTTTTATTGTATCAGGAAACAGTCCCTGTGTCCTGAGTAACAGAGCTCAAGATAACGACGCGCATGGCCTTCACTCTCCAAGAATAATGGTTCGGGTATAATCAATCGTGTCGGTTTAAAAGTCAACTGACTCAATTAGCTATTCACTTCCAAATTCCAAGCTGTCTGAACAAAATTTCAGTCTAGCTAGTTATTTATATGCGCCCTTTCATTACGAGTAGTTTTACAGGCGTTGGTGCCGAAGACACACATAAAGTAAAGAGTCGCGTATCGGATCACTGGCATGTACTGAAGCACGGAGAATTGGAGGTTAACATTTCGAAGGTAGTTGCCTTTAAGTAGTGTAAGACAGCCAGAATTGTAGACTTGTCAATCGCTCTGAAATCCTCGGTGCATTATGCAATTTATTTGGGTAATGTCCCACGTTTAGGTATCGCTAACCCAACTAATGAGCCTCATAAGTTATGGCTTATTTCACTACTGTGATAGACAGGTAGTATGTATACCACATAAATTTCCTCGAATGGGTCATTGCAATTCCTCTAGACAAGGGCTGAGTTTTGCATAGGACATCCGGTGGGTAAGTGGACCAAATTTAGGAAGCTAATTAAGAGCAGAATACGCACAACGTGCGTCTCCATCCAATCAGAGTCCCTCACCTTCATGTGTTTTGATGAGGGCCTGGGTTCTTCGCAACTTCGTTGGAAAACCAAATAGGGAGAGGGATCTCTGGTGATGAATGCGGGTGGACACCAGGTTGTCGCGGTGACCAGAGGGTAATCAAAGTTACTTGACTTTGACTCCATTCCATCCTCCTCCGAGTCGGTTTCCAAGAGAGAAATACGTTGTTTAGTGAGCCGATGACCTAGTAAAGTATTTGCAGCTGCGGCAGACGGACAGATAGATTGCAACAGCTGGAGTCGTTCGGGACTACATCGTGCGGGTTGGTGATTCCCTTTGCTCGCTTTTGACTCTGGAACTTCTGCGCTATTTGCACAACCTACCGGGTTTGCTCTGAAGGCACGTGAACAGAAAATAAGTAATCTTAACTGAGAAGTAATTGAAATACCAACAAAACTTGCAGCCAACTAAACTGCACTTACCTGGACTGTGAGAAAGCATGGCCACTTTCCGTATCGTCCAGTGGTCCCAAATGCTTGGTTGTTGTGCCATTTTTAACATTTTCATCCAATCCCGAGCAAAGTTTGATATCTTTAATTGATGATTTGTCGGCGTTCATTGTAGTAACTTGTCTGTCACGCTAGATATGTCAATTGAACTATAAGGTTAAGTGGGTTGACCATTGGGATCATTAATAACAAATGAACTACTTGATAATCATCCCAGTCTTTGAAAATCAAAAGCAAAAACTGGTTATACACCAATTAATGTGTAACAGGTAATAAAAATGTCACGGGTTCTGGGAAAGAGGAACTTCGAATGCGATATACTTGTATTCGAAGTGCTTCTGGGCGCCTGCTGCTTGCATGACTTGGATATGGCCTTGTTACTGATGGTTATTGCATCCCTTAGGTCCGGTCCTGGTGCGTGGATATGACTTGACCGGAATCAAACCCGCTGCTCAGGCGCCTTCCTGGTAACTTTGACTGATCCGATTTCTGGAAGGGCTTGAAAAAACTTGGCGATGGAAACATCAACCGGAATAGTTCAACACATTTTGCTTACAAATTGAACTTAGGGAAACATTTGCTTGAGCTGGAAGACATTCTCGATCGCTTAAGAAGCAGAGCTATCCGAACAATTAATATAGGGCTGTTGCGGGAACGTCAAGTAAGCCCGCAAAATGCGCCGGAAACTCCAATGCGTGGGCTGCGCCACGCAGTGCTCAAATCCTGTCCACAGTGTAGCAGGATCCAGCCACTCGGGGTCGGGGCACAGCTAGGCTAAAGTGAACAATGCGCTTTCGTAAACCACCAGCTCTATGCGGTGGTTCAATTCAACTACAAAACGAACCTCGTGACAACTGTGACTCGGCCTTGGTGGGTAGTAAAAGAACTCTGACCTCCGTTTCCTCTTGTCTCCTACTATGGGTGGTCGGGAATCGCGTGGTCACGTGATCTTGTGCGCCGCTCTAGCCGCGTGCTTAAGTCTTACGTGTCTAGTCCCCCGATCGCGTGTGTTATCTGTTTCCGAGGCACCAGAGTGCCACCCGAATACTTGCGTGAATAGGGACCGTGCTCAGGTTGTGCGTAAAAGTTGTCTAAGCTAACGCGACCAGATCTGCGTAAATCAATTACAATGGCGACGGCAGAGCTCTCGAACCATGACAGACGAGTTCGCCGACTTGAAACTTTTGCCGCGACAGCAACTCAAAATGATATCCGTGCTAACCGACAAACGCTGTAGTTGACTTCACGCATGTCCGATTGGCAATTCTCAACCAGTAGCTAATGTCGTTAGCGGCATCAGTGAATTCCCGTGGGACGCCAAGCCTGGAGTAACGTTCGACTCTTGGTATTCACTGTACGTTCATCGTTGATCTGCACCGTCAGGATGATGCGTGGAATGTCCGGCTGCTTCTGCGCAAACTGTGTACGCTCGAACACAAACACTTTAACAATTTCATCTTGCCGCAGAACCCACGAGACGCTACTTTTAACGAGACGGTCCGAACCTTATCCCAGATTTTTGGCACAAATCCAGTAAAAATACTAAATTGTTTAATATAACCTGTAATTGGGTTCAAAGATTAGGCATGCTTTAATACACATACCTATTATGAATTTATTGATCAGTTGGAAAAGCCAATCTAAGGAGCAATTCACTACCACAAAGTTGATGGCACGTGATAAACGGCTTGACTGTCCACACTTTATACACAGTAAAACAGCTCTAAAGATGAGTTAGGTGATGTCTTACCAGCTTTAAAAGCCACATCGGCACACGGCCAGATGGAAAATAGAACTGGGAAGGGGAGGGGAACTCATTGCGGGTACAGACCGCATGGAAGCAGGTCCATAAGAGACGGCTCTATGGATGGTCATATTACAACACATACACATTTGGATTTAGCTACACTTATTATGAGAACCCCACAATCTTCCCATATGATTCCACCGATCATTTAGCCATGTCTACCAAAAAATAGTTCGAAAAGTTTTGGAAAATTCGAAAAATAATACATACGCTCCTTGCGATTTCGCCGTACATCAAGAATCGTGTCATCCAGTTGGACTGTGGATCGCACCGACGAGAAATATACCATTATTTTTATCAGCCACAACTACATTTTCCTCATGCAATAGCATGGTATTATCTATACGTATATGATCTGTGCCCACTACGGACGCAACTTTTCATTGGAAGATAAACACACCTATTATAATCGTTATTATTATTATTATTATTATTAGCATTAGTAGTAGTAGTAGTAGTAAGTGATATATGATTGTATGGCCACACGCGGTTGCGTGGCTAGAGTCTGCGATTTAACGCTTATGTTTATCGAAAGAGTTGGCGGTCGAGCAACGCTACAGAGAACATCGATGAAACAAAGTTTTCCATTTCCGTTCTCCCCACCTTTCGTTTTTTTTCTAACAGCCCAAACATACCACATTTCATAATTGCAACATAACAGCATCTATGCAAGTTGCAAATTTGTGAGGCGGGTATGTAACTCCGGTCATGCGACAAATGAGTCTTACCTGTCGAAACAATCTGGTTTGTTGAACATAGGTACTTCGATGTAAACTTTGTCCACTAGCTGGGTTGTGTTGTGTGAAGCGCTGTAAACATGCCACAATGCGTCCACGAACGAGTGGTTCACGGTCCCCGGGTGTCATGCTAGTGGAATCCAAACAAACTTCGGCGTGATGCCATTCCGGACACCTTGCCTTCACAGTCCATGTAGTTTCGGCTGTTTCATCCGTAATTGGTAGACGGGGATCCAGTATTGGTGACTGAGCATCCCATATGCCAAACTGATACATGTACCCGAAGACTGTACAGGAAGAGAAGGGTTGTTCTGGCCAGTGTTTGAAATATACAAAAGTTCCATACATGTATCAGCCCATGTACTTGTATGAACGATGAAATATTGGTGTGTAGGCAAGCATATAGAACTGGTGACCTGAGGACTTCATGTAGCTGTTTGCAAGAAAACGTGCGGCCTAAACAAGCGACACTATAATCTGGTCATGTAAAAACTTAGGTTGCACTATTACAACCTAAACATCATCAGGAGTTGAGCATTTTGTCATTGCAGTGGCCAAGACTGTTGACATCATTGAGATAGCCCTGTTTGGGATTTTATCTGGGCTTATCGCATTGAATCTGATATTAATGATAAACTCCTTGAACTGATCTCTACATGACACTACAACAAATCAGAACGCCTTTACGGAAATCGCGTAGAATTTGTGTCACAATAGACTTCATTCTGGTAAACATGCATGTTTATATGCAGAGCTTGCCGTGGAATAATGGTGTCACTGTCATGTTATGAACAAACAAAGAAATGCATATGCAAACAATTCATAAGCTTTATCAGCGTTATTCAGCAGCTAAATTTTATTCAAATATTATAAGTTTTGATTATGTACTTGTTTTTGGGTAAAACAGTCAATCAGAAACCGCGCATTCAGCCAAATTCAACTGAAAATTCTTTTGGAGGACAAGGATAATCAGTGTACCTTAGTATATTAGATTACAAAATGCTGAAAAGATTTGCTGAGCAAAAGAACTAATGATTTTTCTGAAGACGAAAGGTCTCGAAAGAGATTTTGGGATAAACGTTGGCTTCTGGGTTTAGCTTTTTCTGAGAACATTACTGCAACATAACATGATCTTACTGGGTGCTGAATTCGTTTTTACCTTTTAATTTTAATAACATCAACCACTTCAGTAAGCATACGAGAATAAGTTATCAACTAAAAATTGGGTTCACTTTTCTAGGTGCTAAGAGCTGAGAAACACTGCCTAAGTTTACCAATTATGATAGTCACCAGAAAATTTTGTCAACAAGTTCGAAAAGATTTCAAGGTTTTTTATCCTTTGAATACCAACTAGCATAATTCTCAGCACAATTCAAATTTGATGTCGGAAAGGCAGAAGAATGTCTGAACATGTAGTTATTCAAAATGATGTGTGCACTTGTTATGACAATGAATCTTTTAGATGAATTACTTGGTTAATCCTCTCACCTTCCTGCAAAGTTACATTTCTCCGGAAAATTTGTCACCAGGATAATGGAAAGTTCGACTCTATCTGTATTTGTAAGCAATTATTTTCTCTAAAAACATCAAGAGAACGTTGAAAATATACAGATTCCAGCCAGAAATAGTACCAGATGTTTATAAGAAGGGGGGTGGAGCCCAAAAAGAAAACACTGCAAATGACGAATTGAGTATGCATAAGTGTTTTGTGCTGTTACTATTTTCTTGATGAACAGTTGATTTTTCTGTTGCTTTTTGAAATTTCATCACTGTTCTTCTTGTTAAACGGCTGCAATACTTAACGGCTAAACCATTTGCAAGCACACTGTAGGTTGCTTAATAAAGTAACAAAACCTGTGCAGTAAGTATATATGCATATGGAAACTGGGGTATTGCCGGGCCGAATACACTGCACTTTAGGAAGTGTTTGGGCTTCAAAATGACCATCTATCCAGTCATATCCCGTTGTGCCAAGCGTTCACCGTAGAGGTCAGGTGGTTAAAGAAGTATAGAGGTGCCGACGAACATCCCGACAATTCCGCATTCGAGGACTGCTATATATATATATATATATATATGTATATATATATGGTTGGCGGCATCCGGTTTCGGATTTGCCTGTCACTGTGGCAAGCCACAGGACGCCTGCGCCTACAGAGGGACCATGGGTGGCTTGCGCTGCACCACCCACAGCTCCAACCACACACCCCATATCCAGTGTAAACCCGAAGGAATAAGACCGGGAGGCATTTGGATGGGAACCACGTTTCATCAACGGAGCCGGCCCACACTCCTTCACAGGCAAACACAAGCACACTGTATTTGGGGAATCAAGCGCACACAAGGCGGTGGCTGGACCGTAGTCCGTTCCACACTGAGTGCATGGAACCACTCTTCGAGCCTAGCACGGCCACAAGGACCGTGCACCCCGTCCCCTCCAGCAACGACCAACTGTCTCCTAGAGCCAGTATGGACGAGGTAGTGGGTAATAGACAGGTAGGCACCTTGTCAACATGCACATCAAGTGCAGCCACACCGGGGATAGCACGCAACAGCCAATCACTTGAAACGACAAAATGAAATAACATAAATCCAATAATGCATACAGATACGGTGGCATAACTCTTCGCTAAGTTAGCATATGAAGTAAGTTGGTTAGCAATGAATCCGTGATAAGGAAAAAATGTCCACAAATTACTCAAAAATGCTACAAACGCAACAAAATTACCGAAGATAAGCGCAATTAGCGTAAGCGACGTGGACAGCTAATAGAAGACTATTCAGATAGGCAGAACTAACCAAATAAACTGGAATGAAATTTATGCAACTTAAAGAGACCTAGTTTAAGTGTAAGTTGGTTTAGCCCAACTGCGGTGAAGAAGCATCAAGAATGCAACTTCAGCCTCAGCATGGGGCACAATATATATATATATATATATATATATATATATATATATAGCAGTCCTCAAATGCAGAATTATCGGGATGTTCGTCGGCACCTCTATACTTATTTAACCACCTGACCTCTACGGTGAACGCTTGGCACAACGGGATATGACTGCGTAGATGGTCATATTGTAGCCCGAACACTTTGGTCTTTTGGAAGTACTTGATATTTGAGTAGATTGCGATACGCATTCTTAGCAATGAACTGAAATTTGGTCAATTCTATCACTAGAATCATTGTTAAAGCTAATGGAACTGGGGTGTTGCATACCCGAAAAGTGCATTCCAGGACGCGTTTTGACCTAAACTGACCTTGCCTCATGCTATATATATATATATATATATATATAATGGTTGGCAGGATCCGGTTACGAATTTGCGTTTCACTGTGTCCAGCCACAGGAAGCCTGCGCCTACAGAGGGACCATGGCTAGCTTGCGCTGTAACATCCACAACTCCCTCCACACACCCCATATCCAGTGTAAACCCGAGAGAATAAGACCGGGAAGCATGTGAAGAGGGCCCACCTTTCATCAACAGAGCCGGCCCACACTGCTTCACAGGCAAACACAAGCACGCTATATTTGGGGAATCGAGCGCACGTAAGGCTAAACCCTATTTCGCTCTACACTGGATGGAACCATGCTTTGAGCCTAGCACGGCCACGAGGACCGAGCATCCGGTCCCCCCTTTAGCAACGATTTAAAGTCTCCTGGAACCAGTAATCGAGATGGAGGGTGTTAGACAGGTAGGCACCTTGTCAACAGGTACACCAAGCGCAGCAACATCGGGGATGTCAAACAACCGCAAATCACTTGCAATAACAAGAACATATAATAGTTATCGAATAAGGCATACTGATATACAGACTTTACTATTCGCTAAATGAGCGTGTGCAATAAATTGGTTATCAATCATCCGCGATAATTTCAAGGTTACTGATTACTGATTGGAAGCAGCAAGTAGAGGTTCCTTTGTGTAGCTGCATCTAATGTCAATCAGGGACAAAGACCCGTTAGGTTGTGGTGTGCTCGATATATTTTATGTCGGCAAAGTGTTTGTCTAGAAATTTCTTAAATTCCGACACCGACTTTGCATCAACTGCGTGCTGCGGCAGGTCGTTCCATACATTTACCACTTTGCGTTCCAAACAGAGTTGGTGAGCGACCCGCGACAATCTTGTGCCGGTGTCCTCGTGTGCTGCTTGGTGTGCGCAGATGAAGCAGCGGCCTTACCATTGGGTAATCTCCCAGACGTAGTATCCGATGTGTCGTGATTAGGTTAACCTTCAGTCGACGATAAGCTAGGGTGTACAGCCCTAGTTTCTTACACCGGTATTCATAGGGCAAGCCTCGTAAGTTGGAAATCAGCCTGGTGGCTACATGCAGCACTGGCTCAATCATTTTTACCTCGCCCACGGTGATTGGGCAATACATGGGAGAGCCATACGCTAGCATTGGTCGTAGTACTGAGACGAAGAGGTGAGTGGCAATCTCTTCGGAGATTAGAAATGTTTTCTAAAATATCACAAACTCGAAACGGTTAACGAACATAAACACAATCCGCTTAAGCGAGGTGCGCAAGTAAAAAGCTTATTAAGACAGATATTTAAATGAGTTAACAAAGTAAACATCTACAAATATAGCATAGCAATCACCTGAAAAAATAAAGCATGCCGTTAGTAAATCAAATGCAACGTACCCACCAACGCTGCAGCGGATCTGCTTACCTTCTCCTCCGGATACGTCGTCTCTTCGATGCAGGTCCTGAGTGACCTCGCACGTGACTAACTAGGCCTGCCTGACAGACATTCACGACCGCATGTGCTACAGCACCATGAGCTCGATGTCCGTGGAGTACAACCCATCGGCGCATATCGCTTTCGCACCTGCCGCTTCTATTCCGCATGCAGGAGGTCTTTCTCTTGTACCTAGGCAACTGCCTTCGTGGTCAGATCGCGTTATGTATGCCGATCAACCGCCTTCGTTTCCCAACCCTTATACTCAACATTAGAACGTGATAGGCTCACTTTGATTATGTCCTGGTAACGTAATCGTTTTTCCCACGTGCCGGTTACCCAAACTCAGCTAACCATATAATGGCTGCTTCGGTATCCGCGTCGAATCCATACGCCACACATGACCAAACCACGTCAAGCGTCTCAGCAGAAGTATGCAGTCTGCTGCATACATTCCACTTCGGTGCAACTCTGCGTGTCCGCAACTGTGTCGCATTAACCGATGCCCAGAATCCGTCGCACATCTTGCCGGTACTTAGTCCACGTTTTACTGCAGTATAGAAGAACGTACAGAACCATGAATTTGTAAGCTGGTCGTTAGTC